ACAAACCTTGAGATTGAATGCACATTGTCTAAAGCAAATTTCACAGATGATTTTAATTTAACCGTAAATTTTTTACCAGTTAATAAACATTTAGTTGGTCATGTGATTGTAATTTAAATATATATATATTTATATATTTCTAGTTATTTATATATATATACACAACCTACTAACCAAATGCAACACAACACCCGTCAACACTACTATTACTTCTGATGCACTCTGCCTGAAATAGCCTCCTCAGACCTTCTTGGGTGTCAGAGAACATCTTGCTGATTGCATAAGCGGCTGACTGCCTCCAGCTGAAAGGGTAGGGTTAAGGAATAACACCCCTTTAGATGGGAATAAAAGCATGTGCGCTGTGATCCATCTGCCAGAAACAAAGCCAGGATTTCCATGAAAAAATTATCAAACAACTAGATGAGCAACCCACTGTTTTTGCTTTGGGATCAGTCTCTAGAATTTACATTTTATTGATGGCTAAGTAATATTTCTCAATGTTGCCATATTAGTAGTGCCAGTAGTGTCATCTACAAATAAAAATCCTTCATACCAATATTAGTATGTTCTTATTCTTGTTTGTAGAAGACATGGATCTGTCTGTGGTTTTAGTGCTCTGTTCCACTGTGGCATTGACCGTGGGTGAGTGCTTGAAAGATTTTCTGTTCTTTACATCCTTAAACTTAATGTTCTTCCATTTTGTTTCTGACATTCATGACAGATAATCTGCATTAAAAAACAATTATACAGAAAAAGTGAATTATACAGAAGGAAACAGAAAATAAATATGAAAAACTATGTTACTTAGTGTCAGCAGTGCCAGCTTCCATAGTGAAACTTGAGATCTGTACTCATAATATAAAATAAGTCAGATCAAAGTTCATAGATTGGATCCAGTCTGTATGACTATAAAATGATCACATTATTAATAATGAAGATAATTTAGTCTGAGCCTGGTTGAACTCTCCATCTAAGTTGTAAATGATCTGATGGTCTCAGCTGTTGCTTGTTTTAAACAAACGTCATTTGCATAAAGTGTTACAAAGGAGACTTTTCAAGTGCATAAGTCCTGTAGGTATAACTGAGCTGATTTCGTGTGCATCTGTGCATCAACAGGATCTGCTTTTGGCAGGGAAATGATGGGTAAGTTCATGCTATATGCTGCATAGCTTGCAGTGGACAAGGAGTGGAAGTGCTCGCATTGCCTGCTCTGTTTTGGAGGGTTTGTACTGTGCTGTGTGCTTCTGAAAAAATTTGACACGTATCAAGTTTCTTTAGAGGATTTTTATACAATTGTTTTTGAACTTCCTACTATTGATGTATGATTTCAAAAAGTGTAATGTGCTGCATTTCTGAAGATTTTTCTGAGTTTATTTTTTTACTATTTGTTAAAATCAATGTAACAGTTATTCTGTAATAGTGTCTTACTTGGTTTGATACACATCCTTCAGCTATTACATTAAAGGCAGTTGTACAGTATGTCATGTATGGGTTTCTGTATATGCATTCCAAAACATATATAAAGGATTCAATATATTCAAGATTCTTTACTACTGTCAATAAGTTTTACACATATATGAATGAAAGGTACTGTGCTCCATCCTGGATTATTCCCTGCCTTGTGCCCATAATTTCCTGGACTGGCTCTGGTCCATGACCCTGCATAGGATGAGTAGGTACAGAAAAGGGATGGGTTGATGGATGAATGAAATATTAAAGTTTAAATATTATCTTTAAATATATTTGTTTTTAGTTGCTTTTGAAAGATTTTCTTAAATGCATTATTAAAATATTTTTTCTAAAAGTAATATTCATTTTTCTGATGTAAAATCTGTATATTGTAACACGATACATGTTTTTTTTTTAAATGTTTTTCTAATCTACTGAAAGAATTAATGGCAGTTTTGTTGGAAATGAAATTCTGCAATGTTGTTTCATGGCATAGTGTAGGTTATTTCTATTCTGTCACAGTATTCTTAAAATCTGTGTTTATATGTATTTCCCTAAACATGTTTATTATTTGCACTTGATTTGACTCTCTGGGCAAAGCAGACTGATTTATTATTAACCCAAAAAAGCCCCTAAGATAAAGCAAAAATATTCCAAGAGGCAAAGCCAGGCAAAGATTTTTACTGCATCAGAAAAAGGCAAGGCATGTAACTGGTATTTTTGGCTCTAGACAGTAACTAAGCATTTATCTCAACAATCTAAAACATATATTAAAAAAACATTTAAACACAGTACCAATATCAGGGACTGTGCTGCAATGAACCTCAGGAGGTATACCTGAATTACTCCTGAATATATTAAGAATATGTAGAAATGGGTGGTTTGGAATGAATCTGAAAAATGAATCTGAAAAATGCTGTTAGTGCTACAAGGAAGATAGGTAATAGCAGACAGTCTTCCTTAAGGGTACTTAGTGATGTGGTTTCCATGCTGGATCCTGAGAAATTGTGCAGTTTTCCCAGAAACTGCCATGCTGACTGAAGGGTTCACGGCAGCACCGGTACTTAAATTAAAATGTGCTGTTATGAATCATAGACTTTTGGTAAAATTTTGTGGCTGTAATGTGTTGGTTAGAGGAAAGCGCTTCCAATACAAATTTATCACTGATACTAAAAAAATATTTTTACATATATCTCCACAAGCTGACTTATGCAGATGCCTGTTAAATTTCTCTCTTGAAGATGCAGCCACTGTACACAAGCATTTTGCATAGCCAGATGTATGTGGAGAGCATGGCTTGGGTCTAAACGATTCTTGGGACATTCCACTAAAATTTCATTTAGGCCTGTTGAAATCTAATAAATGGCCCCTGTCCTTCATGAAGTGATTTCAAAATGTTTTCTTTTTCAGCATCAACAAATGATGAGGGAAAAGGTAAGATCTTTACTTTATCCTTGATGTTTTTTTCTTCTTGATTTTTAAAGCAGTTGATAACTATAACGGTGAATTATATAATCCATATACGTGGTTTGTATTCCACCTCTAGTGGGTTTGTGTCCAATTTCTAGCTTAGTGTTTCAATGGGTTTTCCTCCCATAGTCCTAAAACGTGTCATTTGATGCCTTTAAACTGACGCTGTTGTGCAGTTGTGCGCTAGTGTGTGCAATTGGTTCGTATCATCTCCATTGTGCGCCCTGTGTTTCCTGGGATACACTCCCAGACGGTGATATATGCAACCAGAACTATGTGTGGATAAACAAGGTAAAAAGATGTGGGTTTTGTGGCAATATTTTTTGCAGTTTGAAGTCTGACATGCAGCAGCTTATTTTTCCATGAAATATTAAATAAAATTAGATTTCAGCTTGCAGTCCCCGATCGATCCCCACCAGAGAGGTTACATGGCACTTTGGGCAGAGCTCAGTAGGGGTCCGCTTATGACATCATTGGTGGGAGGGGGCGTATTCCTTTATTCTGATTGGCCCAGGGGTTATGTCCATATATGGTAGCAGATGTGCCGATAGGGCCACGTGGTGTGTATATGCTGATAAGGGGAACATGTGGTTTGGGAGATAGTGAGGTCGTTAAACTTTAATAGAATAAAAATATGTTACATGTATTTATTAATGTGTTATTTTTACGTTTTAAGGAATAATAAAAATGTATAGCAGGATGAATGTAAACTAGCGCATACACGCAGGCCGCAGTCACCTGCTGTTAGGAGTAGGCACACGCGCCCCGGCACTTTCCATATTTTAAAAGAAAAAAGCACTTAAACTCATTATATTTAACCAGCATGTTTAAAGAAGAAGAAAAACTTTAGCAGTATTTACCAATGTTTTATTTCAGTATAAGTTTGAAGAAAGAATTTAACCAACAAACTTTTAGGAGGAATTACGTTTAGGTCCACACTCGACAGTGGTTGAAGTCGAAATGAGCGATCCGCCCAGAATGCACTGGATGAACCTGTAGCACATGCACGTAGAGACATATCCCAGGATGCACTCGATAAGCCATTAGCACGACTGCCATCCACTGTGCCGTGAGACCGACAACTCGTTTAACCGATGGCCCTGTGTATGGGAAGCACCCAGCCAGCAACCCTTCCTGGCAGAAAACACATGAACTCTATTTGTTAATCTGACTCATTTGTAAATATTCTAAAATAATCTATTTTAAATAAATGTCGATCTCTAACACTGCAGCCCAGTTTGTTTAGCTACATTTAGCCAAATTTATCTACATTTGGTTAATCAAATGGAAAAAAGCATTATAACTTAAAAAGATGTATGACAAATTAGTATAAATTTTTAAACCAATAAGATTTAAGGAATAAAACAATTTAGTTGTATTTTGTTAGTCTATTTTAAATAAGTTGGACCGGTTTATTTAATTACCTTTAATAGCTGTAGGAACTAGTGAGCGATATTAGCAGCATACATCAAAAACATTTTAAAAACTTTGGCAGAATAAAGCCTTCTGGTGCGTTCGATTATTTCTCTCCAAGTCGGAACTCGGATGAAAACGTCACGAAACGTCACGAAAAATGTCACTTCCCGTTGGAAACACGCCATTACATGACACCCCAGACCTACAGAGGTGTGATATCTTATCGCACGGACCATGGGCCAGGCAGCTATGGCCGCAGCAGGGGAACGTGGCCTAGCACTATCTATCCTGTCGTGATCGATAAGACCAGCTGTTTTCAGGGTGTTGTGTGGTGAAAAAACACGGTGGCCAGTCGCCATACCATATACAGTACAGCATATGCAAGCAAAACGGGGGGTCATTAGTCTTTAATGAAGAAAAATACATTGTTTATTAATAAACTGGTTTAAAAGCGTTATTTTGCAAGCGTTATTTGTCGGATTTACGGTAGTTCGTGCTAATTGTAAGCGAACGAAGATAAAGACCATTTAAACTGAGGTACCTTAAATCCGACAAGTTGTCCGGCTACGCAAAAAATCTTGCTTTTTGATATGGGTCTATGGTATTGCACTTCTGTGGCAGATGGAATGCATCCGACTCATGTTCAAGATGTTCAATAAACATGTTAAGTGCATATATATTCCCTTTTTTCTTGAGTCTGTTTGCTCATGCAAAATGAAATGTGATTAATATAGATTAAAAATGAATGATATTTAATCATGATTAATCAAAATTAATCCACAGGAACCCTGTGATTAATCTGATTAAAAATTTTAATCATTTGACAGCACTATTTATTATAAATATTATAGTGTGTGTACACGCGCACAAGTGAGCCTGTTTGTTTGCCTGGCGCCCGCTGAGTCACGTGACAGCCGGGAGCAGCGACTGAGAGCAGCAGCGCATTCAGGAGAGAAACTGAAACTGAAGTATCGATCTCATTAAGCTGGTATTGATCAATATCAATACCAACATTATTATCTATATTATCAATACTTGGATGGATCCGCCCACCACTAACAAACAGTACCCGCAAAGAGTTCGACCCATTGGAACCTCCGCCGATCAACTTAACACAGCTAAACCCGACATGGTCACAGCGCAAACTTGCGAGACAGTGCAAGCATTGGGCTCAGGGAAACATATTCTCGCAACATGATTATGTCAAGAGGTTGACGAAGGGGAGTTAGGTCCGGATAGGAACTAGTAAGCAGCATTTAGCAGCAAGCATCAAAAACATATTTTTTAAAACTTTGACAGAATAAGGCCTTAGTTATTTTAATGAACACGCTTTTTCAGTAATGGTTGTTCATGCCCATGTGCAAAAACACACCACGGAGGTCAGAGGCTTTAGAGTTTATCTTTAGGTCTGTGAAAGTAGGATCACGATGTGTATCCAAGCCCCCAAAACACTCTAACTTAGTGAACGACTAACTTATTGTGAAAAAACAGACAGAAATAAACTTGTAAATTTTAAAGAAAAGACATTAAGGGCTTTTATTAATGTTTAAAGGTATAAAAACTTTAGATGTATTTGTTAAATAGGCAAACAAAGATGTGTTAGTTTAAATTAGTAAAAAACTATAACCTTAACTTTTGACACTTGATGAACACCCTACACACACGTGCACACAGAGCAAAGCCCCAGACATGTGCACAAGCGTGCACCCAAAGGCTGGCCTTCAGCATTTGATAATCAAACTCAGTCAAAAATACCAGGCGTGTGTTTACGTTTTTTCTTAAAATGTATAAGGATCATTTTGATATAGCGAAATTTTTAATTAGTATGAGTTATATTAAATTAGTTTATTGGGATATATATCATTTAGACAACAAGAATTGAGGAAGAACCTAAATAGTGGCTAGAAATGATCGACCAGGCAGGCAGAAGTGTGCTTTCTTATCGCACAAGCCATGGAAGGGTTGGGGATGACACATAAGTGTGGTAGGAACTGTGGAATCAGGCAAGGGGGGTAAGAATTTAGGACATGTTTTTGTTATTTTAAAGAAGGTGGACATGATTGTTTAATTAAATTTAATAGGAACTAGTAAGCTGCATTTAGCATCATGCATCAAATACACATTAAAAAACTTTAAATAATGCCTTAGTTATTTTAATAAAGACATTCTTCAGTAAATGTCAGACATCCTACAAGGTGTCCCCACGGCCACTGCTTATATCATCGACAAGCTTGATTTGAGATGCTTGCGGGAGTAGCATGCTAAGTTGCTTGATAGTTAATGAAACATAGTCCAAATTCAACAGTGTCAAAGGTCATCCACTTTGCAGCGAGACCAGAGAGTAACTATAATGTCCCATTTAGCTGTTGGTCCTTGTTTTAAAAAAAACTTTGACAGAATAAAGCCTTAGTTTTTTTAATAAGGCGTTTATGCGCCTTATCGCTCAAAACCAGACAGAAATAAACTTGTAAATTTTAAATAAAAGACATTAACTGTTTTTGTTAATGTTTTAAAGGTACAAAAAACTTTAGCGGCCTTTCTTAAATGGGCAAAAAATTGGCTTATCTTAATAGTTTATATGAATTAATAATTAATAGTTTATATGAAGGTAGGAATGTGGATGTTGCAGAGACCCTATCAGTCAAGTATAACCTGCCAAAGAAACATCTGTTTCATTTATTTCAAAGCAGACACTTTGTGTAAAAGCTGTATCCTCATTTCCCTAACCGGCCACGAGGATCAGAGATCGATGAGCTTCTAACCCTTAAACGCAAACCGTAAACAGCTTATCTCTGTCACGTATGATTTAATTAGCCCTTTCAATATATGATGGATGGATACAAATAGTTTTACGATGTATACAGCTATAAAAGTTGTGATTTTCATCAGACTTGGGGCCCTGTCCTGACGTTTTTCAAAGACCAGGTTCTCATACTAGAGTAGACTGATGCTGTTTAAGTACTAGATGGGAGGACCCCTGCAATGAAAATCTTAACTTTTCAAGCTGTATACATTGTAAAACTCCTTGCGATTCACCACCCCACACCCTGAAAACAGCTGGTCTTATCGATCACGACACGATAGATAGTGCTAGGTCCCGTTCCCCCGCTGCGGACATTAGCTGTCTGACATGTCTAAACATGATGACAGTGCTTTTGCCATTAGGAAATAACGAATTTGCTTAAAATAACACGCTAACAAAACACAGCTACTGTTTTTACCATTTAAAACTGCTCGACCCTCTTTCATCTCTAGCTAGAAAAAATCGATGAGTCCGGAGCCCCGTTAAAATTATGCTGCTAAAAGTTTTATTATTCCTTAAAACACTTTTAAACCAGTACATTACTAAACATGTGCAATGTATTTTTCTTCTTTTAAAGACTAATGACCCCATTTTGCTGGCATATGCTGTACTGTATATGGTATGGCGACTGGCCGCCATGTTGTTTCACCATACGACACCCTGAAAACAGCTGGTCTTATCGATCACAACACGATAGATAGTGCTAAGCCCCGTTCCCGTGCTGTGGCCATAGCTGCCTGGCCCATGGTCCGTGCGATAAGCTATCACACCTCTGTAGGTCTGGGGCGTCCTGTAACGACCATAGAGTGGTTCATTAAAATGACTAAGGCTTTATTCTGCCAAAATTTTTTAAATGTTTTTGATGTATGCTCTAAATACCGCTCACTAGTTCCTACAGCTATTAAAGGTAATTAAATAAACCGGTCCAACTTATTTAAAATAGACTAACAAAATACAACTAAATTGTTTTATTCCTTAAATCTTATTGGTTTAAAATATTATACCAATGTGTCATACATCTTTTCAAGTTATAGTGCTTTATTCCATTTGATTAACCAAATGTAGATAAATTTGGCTAAATGTAGCTAAACAAACCGGGCTGCGGTGTTAGAGCTCAACTTTTATTTATATTAGAAATAGATTATTTTATACTATTTACAAATAAGGCAGATTAACAAATAGAGTTAATGAGTTTTCTGCCAGGAAGGGTTGCTGGCTGAGTGCTTCCCATACACAGGGCCATCTGTTAAATGGGTCATTGGTCTCACGGCACCGTGGATGGTAGCCGCACTACAGGCTTATCGAGTGCATGCTGGAATATGGCTCTATGCGCTACAGGCTCATTGAGTGCATTCTGGGTGGATCGCTCATTTCAACTTCAACCACCGTCGAGTGTAGACCTAAAGGTAATTCCCCCTAAAAGTTTGCTGGTTAAATGCTTTCTTCAAACTTACACCCAAATAAAACATGTTGGATAAATATAATGAGTTTAAGTGCTTTCTTCTTTTAAAATACGGAAAATGCCGGGACGTGTGTGCCTACTCTGAATTAGACCTTATTTCCTCCTTAATATTATTAAAACTAGCATTCGTGGTCCTCTAACTCAACCAATCTTGCTATGCGTGTTATCCATTCTTAAAAGGCAACCATGTGATTGGCTAGAATTGTGTTAGTTCTTGCGACGTGATAGCCTGATGTGTGCTATCAAGCATTGCTCCTTATTGACAGTTTATCATAGTTTCTCATTTATAACAATAAGAAGATTTGTCATTTATATTGCCCAGGCCTATCTCATCGGTAAATTTGGTCCAGTTGGGCAATTGACCAGGTTGGTTGAGAGACTCTAACATAGATTGAATTGGGTGGTGTTTTGAATAAGTAAATGCATTCTTGAGCATCTATTCATCTTCCTGAGCAGGGTTGCTGGGGTTAGCTGGAACCTACTCCAGGTGTCAATAGGTGTCTGTTTCATAATCACATTTACATGCTGACATGGCAGATTATGTAAGGGATAAATCACGACAAGATGTGTAGTTACACCAAAAATTATCAATGACAACTTGGTCTAATGTCGCCCAACACAAACAGGAGCGCTGCTGACCAAGTTGGGATTATTTTTGTTTAACGGCACACCTCGAAGTGGTTTTGTTTTGCTAACGAACAAAAAATAATAATAGAATACTACTATTATTAATTTTTCAATTCAATTTCATTTTGCATTTAATAATCTAAAACATTGTATTTACCAAAGTTGCGGTATAATTCGGGGTATTTAATTTAAAGGTTCTATAGAATGTAGGCTCACTGTTTGCTTGCATTTTTTCTAACACTGAATGGTAATTGTTCAAACATTCCTTTGACCCTTGTTTTGTGAACCCTCCATGAATTAATATTTGCTGTTTTCTCTTTGCTCTTTCTCAGAGTATGACAGTGCATTTGAATATGGTAGGTTATAAACCAACGAAAAGCAAATCCATCTTGACCTTTTCCCACCCTCAGGCCTCCTTTGCAGTTTTGCATGGACTAAAATGTCTGTGGAAAAGTTTGAGAGGTCAATCTGGGTTCAGTTTTTTCCTTTTTATTTACCCAAAATTCTTTTCCAAGGGGAATGTACACTTTGAGCAAACATTACTCCTAAAGATTTTCCATTTAGCCTAATGTCTTATGATCTCTAGCAGATTCATGTTATTTTGTAATTTCACTAAATACTTAAAATATATCATACTGAATGTTTAAGTATTACTACAAAATATTTCACATATTTATTATTTATGTAAATGTCATTTTATTGTTGACTGATTTGTGTACCTTCATTTGCATCTTTCCCCATAATTTTTACTATAAAATCTCCTCATAAATTTACATACCCAGGAATTAGTGGTTACTGCATATGCCCAGTAACTTGTGATTGCGCATGGATCACATAACCTGTGCTGCCTTTCAGATTATGAATCCCTGCGAATTGGAGGACTGATCTTTGCCCTGGTTCTCTTTCTTTTGGGAATTATTCTGATCCTCAGTAAGTCTGTGTGCTCCTTTTGAACACCTTTTGCATCAGTGTCACAATTATGTTTCTTGGATTTTCATTCAAGCTATGTAGTTATCCATGCAAGCATTTGCAAATGGACTAGTTTAATTTCCATCCATGCATTATCTGCCATTTGTCCGGGGTTCGGGTCGCTGGGGTAGCAGCTTCAGGAGAGATACCCAGACCTCCCTCTCCCCAGCTACCTTTACCAGCTCCTCGGGGAGGATGCCGAGGTGTTCCCAGGCCAGCCGAGAGATATAATCCCTCCAGCGAGTCCTAGGCCTGCCCCGGGGCCTCCTCCCTGTAGGACATGCACGGAAAACCTCTCCGGGTAGCCGCCCAGGAGGCATCCGCACCAGATGTCCAAACCACCTCAACTGGCTCCTTTCGACGTGAAGAAGCAGCGGTTCTACTCTGAGGCCCTCCCGGATATCCAAACTTCTCACCCCTATCCCTAAGGGAGAGCCCAGACACCCTGAGGAGAAACCTCATTTTGGCCGCCTGTATTCACGATCTCATTCTTTCGGTCATTACCCATAGCTCATGACCATAGGTGAGGGTCGGGACAAGATGGACCAATAGATCAAGAGCTTTGCTTTTCAGATCAGTTCTTTCTTAACCACGACGAACCGGTTAAGCGCCTGCAAAACTGTAGAAGCCACTCCAATTTGTCTATCCAGCTCCCGATCTTGCCTACCCTCATTCGTGAACAAGACCGAGATACTTGAACTCCTCCACTTGAGGCAGTACGTCTTCCCTGACCTGAGGAGGGCAATCCACCTGTTTCCGGCTGAGAACCATGGTCTCGGACTTGGAGGTGCTAATCCTCATCCCCGCTTCGCACTCGGCTGCGAAGCGCCCCAGAGCACGCTGGAGATCCCCAGCAAGGTTCAAGGTTCAAGGTTGCTTTTATTGTCATTTCAGCAATATACGTGGTACAGTACAAAGTGAAATGAAATAACGGGACCATGGTGCTACATAAAAGGACTGGGACAATACAAAAAAAACGTAAATTGCATGTAGTAAAGTGCTACATAAAAGCACTGGAACAATACAAAAAAACGTAAATTGCACGTATGTAAAGTGCACGTGTGCAGACATGTGCAAAAACAGCAGATAAACAAACACGAGACAAGTGCAACAGTGTGTGTGTGTGTGACTCAGTCCAGTCTCTGTGTGTTTAGAAGCCTGATGGCTTGCGGGAAGAAACTGTTGCAGAGTCTGGTAGTGAGGGCCCCAATGCTTCGGTACCTCTTACCAGATGGCAGGAGGGTGAAGAGTTTGTGTGAGGGGTGCGTGGGGTCATCCACAATGCTGGTGGCTTTGCGGATGCAGGGTGTTTGATGAATGTCGGTTATGGAGGAGAGAGAGACGCCGATGATCTTCTCAGCCGTTCTCACTATCCGTTGTAGGGTCTTGCGGTCTGTTACAGTGCAATTCCCATACCAGACAGCTGCTCAGGATGCTCTCGATCGTCCCCTTGTAGAAAGTGGTGAGGATGGGTGGTGGCAGATGGGCTTTCCTCAGCCTCCGCAGAAAGTAGAGACACTGTTTGGCTTTCTTGGCTATGGAGCTGGTGTTGAGGGACCAGGAGAGGTTCTCCGCCAGGTGAACACCGAGGAATTTGATGCTCTTGACGATCTCCACAGAGGATCCGTCGATGTTCAGCGGTGAGTGGACGCTCCGTGGTCTCCTGAAGTCAACAATCATCTCTTTTGTTTTGTCCACATTCAGAGACAGGTTGTTGACTTTGCACCAGTCCGTTAGCCGTTTCACCTCCTCCCTGTATGCTGACTCGTTGTTCTTGCTGATGAGACCCACCACGGTCGTGTCATCGGCGAACTTGATGATGTGGTTTGAACTGTACATTGCTGCACAGTCTTGAGTCAGCAGAGTGAACAGCAGCGGGCTAAGCACACAGCCCTGAGGGGCCCCAGTGCTCAGTGTGGTGGTGCTGGAGATGCTGTTCCCGATCTGTCTGAGGTCTATCAGTCAGGAAGTCCAGGATCCAGTTACAGAGGGAGGTGTTCAGGCCCAACAGGCTTAGCTTTTCTGTCAGGTGCTGAGGAATGATTGTGTTGAATGCTGAACTGAAGTCTATGAACAGCATTCGAACATGTGTCCTTTTTGTCTAGGTGGGTGAGTGCCAGGTGAAGGGTGGTTGCGATGGCATCGTCCGTGGAGCGGTTGGGACAATAGGCGAACTGTAGAGGATCCAGAGTAGGTGGCAGCAGGGTTTTAACATGCTTCATGACGAGCCTCTTGAAGCATTTCATGATTATAGGTGTGAGTGCTACGGGACGGTAGTCGTTGAGGCAGGGCACTGGAGACTTCTTCGGCACATGAACGATTGTGGTGGTCTTGAAGCATGTGGGAACGATGGCGGTGCTCAGCGACATGTTGAAGATGTCAGTGAATACATCTGCTAGCTGGTCTGCACATTCTCTGAGCACTCTCCCCGAGATGTTATCTGGCCCCGCAGCCTTCCGTGGGTTAACTCTGCGAAGAGTTTTCCTCACATCAGCCATGGTCAGACATATCACCTGGTCGTTGGGAGAAGGGGAGAATTTCTTTGCGGCTACGTCGTTCTGTGCATCGAACCGTGTGTAGACGTCATTTAGCATATCTGGTAGGGTGGCATCACCATCACAGGCAGGTGTTGTTTTCTTGTAGTTGGTGATGGCCTGGATACCTTGCCACATGCGCCGTGTGTCACCGCTGTCCCTGAAGTGACTCTGGATTTCCTGCCCGTGGGCGCGTTTCGCTGCTCTGATGGCCCGAGACAGTTGAGCCCTCGCTGTTCTTAAGGCCGCCTTGTCTCCTGCTTTAAAGGCAGAATCTTCAGCAGCTCACGCACCTCCGCAGTCATCCACGGCTTCTGGTTTGTCCTCGCGGTGATGATCTTGGAGATAGTGATGTCATCGATGCACTTGCTGATGTAGCTAGTCACTGATGACGTGTACTCCAAGTTGATGATGTCGCCGTTGGATGCAGCCTCCCTAAACATGTGCCAATCAGTGTGCTCAAAACAGTCATGAAGAGCAGAGTTGGCTCCTGCAGGCCAAGTTCTCACCTGCTTCAGAACCGGTTTTGAGCGTCTGACGAACGGTCTGTATGCTGGAATTAGCATAACAGAGATGTGGTCTAAGTATCCGAGGTGGGGGCGTGGCTCCGCGCAGTACGTGCCAGGAATGTTTGTGTAAACATGATCCAGCGCGTTCTCCCCTCTCGTTGCAAAGTCCACATACTGATGGAATTTCGGGAGAACTGTCTTGAAGTTTGCATGGTTGAAATCTCTGGTGATAATAAACAGTCCATCCGGGTGTGCGTTCTGTAATCCACTGATAGCCGTGTATATCTCACAAAGCGCCTGTTTCGCATTAGCACTTGGGGGAATATACACTCCAACAATGAACACAGTGGTGAATTCCTGTGGTAAATAAAAAGGTCTACATCTAACAGTCACTAACTCCACCAGCGGCGAGCAGAAGCTGGACAGTAAAACAGAGTTCTTGCACCATTCCGTGTTGATATAAACACACAAACCACCGCCGCGAGACTTACCACACAGTGCTGCGCTTCTGTCAGCGCGAAATGCGGTTAGCCCGGCTAGCTGAATGGCGGCGTCCGGAACTCTGTCGCTGAGCCATGTCTCCATAAATCAAAGACACAGCAATCTCTGAATTCACACTGGGTAGTCCATTGAAGTCTGATGGACTTCATCTGTTGGCAAGTGAAGCCAACAGGATGACATTGTCTGCAAAAAGCAGCGAGGCAATCCTGAGGCCACCACACTGGACACCCTCAACACCCTGGCTGCGCCTAGAAATCCTGTCCATAAATATTATAAACAGGACCGATGACAAAGGGCAGCCCTGGCGAAGCCCATCCCGCACTGGGAACACGTCCGACTTATTACCGGCAATGCGGACCAAGCTTCTGCTCCGTTCATACAGGGACTGAATCGCCCACAACAGTGGACCCCGGATCCCATACTCCCGAAGCACCCCCCACAGATTTCCTCGGGGAACCTGGTCGTAAGCCTTTTCCAAACGGGAAACGGGACTTCGTTTGAATACCTTATCATAGGGTTCTTTTGGATTGCTCTTTGTCTGGCCCCTCCCCTGGGACCTTTTTGCCTTGGGAGACCCTACCAGGGGCTATTGCCCCTGACAACATAGCCCCCAGGGTCACTGAGGTACGCAAACCCCTCCACCACGATAAGGTGGCAATCCAAGGAGGGGTTTAATTTCATAAAGAATTATTCTAATGATTTACAGAGCTTACATATTGCTTAATTGTTGGTACTGTGATCAAGTATTGTAATTCTTATATGTGACTCCGTGATAGTTTATCATAGTTTCCCATGCAATTCTCTGAGCAATTGAGTGAGTGTGGGCATGGCCTTGACACTTGACACTCACCCTCCACCCCACACCCGGCCACTATTGCATTTAGTCCCACAAATCAGCTCTGATCTTGTAATCCTAGTCACTGCTACTCCATAATCAACACCAGCCCATAAACTGATCATACACCTGTCTAATATGAAGCCTTCAAGACATCAATTCAGTGTTTGTTTAAACTAAGAAATTATACAGTAAATGGTAAATATTAAGTATCTTCCCTGATAGTTTATCATTGTGAAAGATTTCAGGCACTAAGAGCTTCCCAAATGTGTGTCTGTGTGTGTGAATTCAAGTTCAAGTGAGTTCAGACATATGTATTACCCAAGAAGCCACATTAGGAGCAGAGCTGACCCTCCCACCAAAATATTGTATTTCCTGGACAGTCTCTATGTTCAGCTATGACACCCTAGAAGATAGCTGCTTGGATGTTTCAAATTCAATTCCAAGCACAACAACTGTGCACATATATATCCCTCTAATCTCTGCCAGGATTCTTCAACAAGTGTATATGCTATGTACACAGGGGTGAAAATATCAAATTCTGCTTATAAGTAAACTTTGCAAAAGGATGTACATGCCAATTTAAAAACTAAGCACAAATCAAAATAATTAAACAGGATTATCTATTCCCAAATTAAAAACATAATTTAACATTTACATACAAATATATAAAGAATTATTTAAGATAAATATTTGTTTTGAATATGGTGTCTTTTGATTGCCCTGTCTTCAGCATTTTTCCTTTTTTCCATTTAGGCAAAAAATGCCGGTGTGCATCCAAGAAACAAAGGTAAGTATTAAAATTACAAACTTTTATAAAACATATACATATATGCAAGACTGGTCTGTGTTTAGCTTCTACACCATTTCTGCTGGGTTAACTTGCTGACCAGAAAAAAAGACAATGCAAAAGCCTTTCAAATGAAACAAATGACATTATTATGAAATGAAACGATGACAATTTCATTTGAAATTTTCAAGGGTGGGGTGGTTCATAGTCAGTAGGGTTGCAACGATATGAGATTTTCACATTATGGTGACTGTCTCAAGAAATAGCACGGTTTCACTGCATGATGGTATATGGTATTTCAAAATTATTATTATTGTTTTTATTATTATTAGTAGTAGCAGCAATAGCAGTAGTAGTACTAGTAGTATTATCAGCTACAATGACCCATAAATTAATGAAAACAAATGTATTTTGTTGAACAAATGCTTTTTTTAAAGCTGAAACTATAACTGATTTTTTTTTAATGGAAGTATTTGTAAAAACTATTTTTGAAAATAAATTAAACAAATAGGAAAGCTGTACATCTGTTTGAACAACAGAAATTAGAAGGGAAAAATCAGCAGGATTTTTTTTATCGCTAATTAGATAATAATCAATAAAACATGTTGCTATCTAGCTAAATATAGTACATTATTAATCTAATAAAACACATCAACTAAACAATTCTTAGCAAGCTGAATATATTACTGTAATTCATAAAAGTCGCTATCGAGTAATAAAACATGTTGGTTATGCTATCAAGCTAAATGACAATAATAATTAAGAAAAAACGCCGCTTTTCTTAAAACACTCACAAACATATTTTACTGGTGTAAACACTCACCAAAACTTTTTTTCTCATCCCACTGATTGGGGGGTTTTGATCTTGCCTCCATTGTTTGTATGTGTCTGGAGTTAGTGTGCCCTCTTCTGGATACTCCTGTTTCCTACCATGGTGCAAAGGCATGCAGCTGAGTCAGCTGACATCTCTGGTTTGCTCATAGTATATGACTTTGTATGTGTGAATGTGATATAGGCTCCAGGCCCCCTAGCAAACCTTTACTGGAGAAGCAGTTGGAAGGTAGATGAATTTAACATTTTACCTAATGGTCTGTTTTATTTCTAGGAATGGGAATGACGCATGAGCAGGAAGCATAAAAAGTGAGATTATTTCACTTCTTTTTTTCTACTAGACTTACTGTAAAAGGCAGACTTTCTGTTGTATTTCTTTACATAATGAAATGAATGTATGGTATTTGGGGAAGGGGGATGGATATGGATGTTGAAGATACAGTAATCACTTTTTTGACTCAGTCAGGTGAGTCAGTTGCTACTGTAGAACATTATAAAGGTTGCATATTTTTGCCTTTTTCCATTTCTTTATATTTAATTTGCACTGTATAATGAATTTCAATTCTTCTCAATCTCACGTTCCAGGCTTTCCTGCAGAGTCAGAGTTTTTCACTAGACTGCAGTCTCAGAGGGTTGAAGTGGAGTGATTTCCCTTTCTAAGCAACATTAATTTAGAATGCAAGATACTTCTGTAATTTCCTACCTTATGTTGTCTGAGTTTTCAAAAGTATAAAAGTTTTGAGAAAGATTTGATTTTTGGGGGGGAGGCAAATTTAAAGAAATTCATAATGGGAGCTGCAATAAAATACTTTGGATGCTCCTTTTGTATAAACTACTTTGTTGTTTTTTGTTGTTTTTATTTTAATTTTCTTACTTTGGTCATTTTTTTGTTATTCATGGGTATTGGTTATATGGATGTATCAGTTGCTCATTTATTTCAGATGAGTTCTCCAGTAGTCAGGCAACATTTGAGCCAGAGAGCAATTCATCAATTTGGTTTCCTAATCTCTAGGAATTGTATAATTATAATAGAATTCCCTGCTTTGTGAAATAATTTATCCTGGGTTAATATAACCAGGAAAAATGAGGCTTCAAATCTTTAAAAACCACAGTATGTGTGATGATCTTGAAGTACAAATCACTGCTTGACTTAATGGGAATAGGGATGCAATGAGAAGTAACCAATTTGGATTAGAAGGTATTGGGAAATGCACAATACTCCCGTCAGTATGTCAGATCACTATAACCATACCAGTCATTTGCTGAAAGCCTCATTTTTCTATTTAATTTGAAGTGTCAGCAATGTATACATTCATGATATTTATTTTTATTCAAGCCAAATGACTTGGCTCTTCACATTACTTTGCATGTTACTCAAATCGAGTATGTTGTCATCTTACCTTAATTAAGTTGCTCATCAATCCACATTCACCATACTGTTTTACACTAAAATATAAATTTACCATACTGTTAACCAAAATAAAATTCATTATTATTTTTAAAATATTAGGAATAGAATTTACTGTTTTGATCTAATAACGACAGGGCAAACATATACACTTTTACATGTTCAAAATGCGTTCTGTTTTCATGTATATTGCCTAAGAAATCCAGTTTCTTATCAGATTTTTGCTTATAACTTGCTATCCATCCCGTCCGCTTAAAAAGACCTATGATACACAGGGATAATTTAAAACAAACATTTAGTATTTCAGTTCTGTTAAAATTGCTGATAACGCTATATTTTTTCTTAAAACTGCAATGTAAAAAAGGTGATAGATAAACATTTTCCATCCATGCTTTTTCCGAACGCTTATCCACTGGAGGTTCGCTGGACAATACGAATGCCTATAGGTACATTACATGAAAAAATAATTTATATTCACCATTTAACTTTCAACATTTGTTTCTGTTACATTTTCTCAGTACTTCAAACAGAGTGTGAATAACATATTTCAACATGGCAATGTAACTGGCTAAGTAAGACAGAATAACGAAGTATCCAGTAATTAACGCAATCCTAGAATGTATTAAAGAAAACGCCCAAAATGAAATTGTTACTGTCCATGCATCATTACACCACTGACTGAGAATACTTAGTAAAACTGATTAGTCATCTTTCTTCCATGAATGCAGCGCCTCCGAACAGCTTTGCTACCATGGATACAACTCGCTTCTTGTACCGCATTGGCGAAAACAGGGGATAAAACCTTGATGGAAACCTGTTGTTTCCAGGTTCCTCTTTAAGCATGTACGCACCGAGACACAAACGGAGGAAATTCCCTCCGCATTGCCTGCATGCGCATCGCTTGCTGCATCTCAGGGGAAGACCTTTTCCCACTGCTAGCGTCAGCATTCCTCAGGTAATGGAACTGCAGATTGCAGATCTTTAGAGCCCTCCCCGCCCCTTACCCCATCTAATACGCTGCAACCTCGAACTGCAGTTTTTCTGTATTCTGTAAGTCTGGTACCGGCTCTACGTGAATTCCCTATTCGCATCCCTGCAGCGCGATCAGGCGGCAACTCCATACACTGCAGACATGTCAACTGAAAAAGGTTTGTCGATTTGTTTAGGATGCTTTTTTCTTTTTACGTGGGATATTCTTAAACTTTAGCATTTTCTGTACATTTTGTTGCTATTGATTATTGCTTTTGTGTAAATAGTAAAGCTCTGTAAAGGTGCATTAAGAATAAAAGAACTTGCATATTCCATTAACATTGACACATATAAAGTTTTAAAGTCTGGCATTATGCTGTCAAACTCACTTTACAATTGTATTTCAGGTGACTAAAAATAACTAATGGAATGTAATGATTATAATGCTATCGCTGGATTCGTGTAACTAGGCTATATATACGGAAGATTTTTTTATCTGGCTGTTTATTTTATTGTGCTAATTCAATTCAGAATGGGTACAATCATTTTCTTTCTAATTTTAATGAATGTACATAAGAACTTGTCGAGGGTGTGTTTGAATGGGGGAGGGCGAGGAAGTGCACAATGCTAAGTAAGCCATAATGAAACATATGGGTTCTGCAACATAAAGCCGCATTACCAGCGAACTTAATATGTAAAAAAAGAAGAAGAAAAAAAGAAAACTTAACAGAATATTTTTTTGTTTTAACAATAACGACACTTTGATTATTATTATTATTATTTAATAATGAAACAGCTTTTGAATATTTGATAGATAGTCCGAGAGCCAGCCAATGCTAGGCGACCAGCCAGTTTCACTTTGCCTCGCACAGAGGGGGCACCACATTGGTTCGGTTGCGAAGTTATAATCCTAAACCTCAATGCTTTTCCTATGCGAACAGTCATATATAGGCCTACACATCAGTACATACATTCAGCAAGACAGTACTGGGTAATCCTCGTAGACTTTTTTCCTGCTGAGTGCAGGTCATGCATTAGTCAGTTCTTCAGTCACTATAATTGAATTGCTAAGAGAATCCATCAGCCAAGTCTGTAAAAATATTGCTTTCAGAAGTCTTTTTCTCATTTTAAATGAGTCTCCTTAAGTGGCATTTAGGTGTAATCACTTTTAAGGCTATTACATGAGGGTTTGCTTATGCATACATTGAAGCTATAATCAAAATAAAATGTATTTGGAACTATACTTTTCTCTCCATGGTGCTGAAAATCGTTATCGAAGATCCAGATATGTTTGCCACCAGCTCCAGGCCAAACCTCCCTGTACTTTTTTATGTGTGCGGCCTTCCTCCGGGTCCTCTGCTTTCTTATGGCTGCAATAGAAGTACCCTGCCTTCCTCACATCACTAAAACTGCAGAATCCATTCGATATTGGATTACATCTGGCCAGATCAATCAAACACCCAACCATGGGCAGAGTCGGCGGGGGGGGGGGTGTTTGTGACAATATTTAATACAAAAATATGTCATTTAAATGATTATTTGTATATGTAATTAAAATGATTATTTAAACTAGAATTTAAATTGTAATTTAAAAGAATGTTTATATCACTATTTAAATTATAGGCTACCAGCAACCATTAAAATATCTGATTGGTTACATTGCAAAGTAAGGCTGGTTCATACTTCTCCGCACATGCGCAACACTCACGTATGCATTGTGCGTATTGGTACAAGGTAAGGGGAAAGATTAAATTTTTTTTTTTTTTGGAAACGTTCATAGTTCTCCGGTCAAGCCGTGTGCTTTGCTCAAGTATATGACGTGTTGTACTTATATTTTTATTAATAATATAAATTCTAATTCTGATATTCCCTGCACACGTGCACACAGGGTTGCCAACTTTGGTCAGCTGGCTGACGTGAGAGGCAACATAAAGAAACGGACATAAACCTCACTGCTGTGGTACGTGTGCGGGGATTATCAGAATAATAATTTATATTATTATCATTAAGAATAATATAAATCCAACATGCTGTGCACATGTACAGAGTATGCGGCTAGACCAGAGAAGTATGAAGGTTTCTGTGTAAGCATACGCAGAAGGGATGCATGAGTGTTGCGCTAGAGCAGGGAAGTATGAACCAGTCACATCAGATCGTTCTCACCCAGTCGACTGATTTCTCCTGCATTTTGTCTGTTTCATCCTGGGGTTGCATTACAGAACCTTCCGAACTTGTAGATCCTGTCTTAGCAGTTTGGTTACTATGCTGACTAGGATTAGAACCTGATTTATGAAAAAGCTATTACAGGTGAACATTTCCTAAGTCACTGTTCCTATCCTAACTTAAGACAGGAAATGAGTATTACGCAAGCTTCATAACTTCCTAAAATCTTAAACTCTCCTAACTTTAGAATAACTACACAGCCATGATCATGACATATGAATAAAAATTATGTATGTCGTGAATACATTTTACTACAGTGCTTCCCCGTATCTGGGGATGATACGTTCAAAGATCTAACAAAGATAGCCGAAACAATCTGCAGAACAAATATACACTCACCTAAAGGATTATTAGGAACACCTGTTCAATTTCTCATTAATGCAATTATCTAATCAACCAATCACATGGCAGTTGCTTCAATGCATTTAG